TTGAGAAATTGTGGTTGAATACCTAACATATAAACCAAATATATTATTTACTAAGCATTCTTATATGCAATGCGGCTAACAAACTTATCTGATGAGGAGTATTTCCCTATGTTAATACTAAACAAGTTGGTTTTCAGTAGTCCAATGTGAATTCTAATGTTTTTTGGTCGTGAGTATGAATTGAGTATGAATTAACAAAATGTATTCTTTCAAGGTAGATCATCTCAAAATGTTGTTTTTTTTTCTAAAAAGTTTTTGTGGGACTTTTACAAAAACTTTTAAAAGAAAAACAATATTTTGAGAATTCAAATTAATTCAGAAATTGTGTTTGTATTTGATCCTAAGCCTATTATTATGGTCTTAAAATAATGTTATTTTAGAAAAACGATTTTATTTCAAACTTTTTATACAATGCTTTAAGAATCCCATGTATAATGAGAAAATATTCATATAAGGAGGTGAAAATGGATAGTACACCGCAATATCTTCGTTCTAAGCACCGCAGAATATATTATTAGAATATAATATTAGAAACACCCTCTGTAAGGGTATAAATGGATTGCCACGAAAAGGAAGGCAGAGCAATAATAATTTCGCGTACGGACACTGCCAAGTGGAAGCGCCAAGCTCCAGGAAGCGTCAGTCGCCTCCGAACGCCCCCGCAGCTTCAGAAGACCCTCCCCCCCCTCCCCACACCACTATCATTGCAGGAAATCACTGGCAACAAGTGGCCACGACTCTCGCGGAGATTCAGCTCCTGCGGCCATTTCACTTTGCTTTTCATTTTATTGCTAATTTTTTTCTTTTTTCGCTCTACCAGTGAGTTTTTGCAAATTATAATGACAGCCCCCGGCCCAGATACAGAGTACGGAATACGGAATACTGTCGAGTAATCGGTTAGTACCGGGTTGATGGGGGGGGGGGGGCCTGTGGGGCTGGTCATCGAGGGCGAATAGACATTTAATGAAACGAAACGACAACAAATTGTTTAAACATTATTTGCGCTTTCCCTTTGCCGTTTCGCCTTTCCTTTCCGTTCCTGGCCTTTCATTTCTTTCTAGACCATCTTTTTTATATACGTTATTGTTAATAAACAGACATTACAAAGCAGATAATGAACGACAGGGAGCTCTAGCACCAGGCACTTGGCAGAATGGAAATTGAAATTGCGGGCGCTTTGAGAGGAAACTGGAAAATCATTCATACAGCAATTTGTCAAAGAGATGCTAGATAGAATTGAGAAAAGACTCAAGGAAGAGAAACTTACTTTAAAATTAATTGGTTAATTAATACACAACTAATTGTTAAGTCTATGGAAACTCTGTCTGTAAAAAAACAATTTTTTTTTGCATTTCTTTACGTAAATAAAAATCTGTTTCCATTTTAAAAATTTTTTTTCCGTAAATGCTTATTTAAAATTATCCCATTTTTTAATAGAAAATATTTGTGTGTATATTTTTTTCCAGACCCCGAGAGCAAAACTTTAATTTTTTCAAAAATGTGTCAAGCTTATATTTTTATTTAACGTTTACCTGTAAAATCCTTTAAATTCACCATGGAAAATTGATATCAATGTGATTATATTTTTAGGACTTATTGAACTAATTCTTCTTTAAGCCTCTTCATCGACTCTTATTATAATTATTTCAACTTATTAAATGCCATGCTATTTCTTAGCACTTCAAAGTTCTGCAAACTTTTCAGTTTCCATATTTTCCTTCCTTTGGATGGATATTTTAATCGTGTCGCCAGTTCCTTCGACTGTGAATGATTTCACTTAACGCTCTCGGGATAGAAAAACAATGTTATCGCTTAATACTTATATTTTCCTGTCATTTAATTTCTTTTCCACTTGGCTCTCTCCGCTTTCTTTTCCTCCTTTGACGCTGGCCGGGGACTCACTTCCATAATCCGACCCGGTTTTATGATTCTTTGTTTTCACGCCAAACGATTTTGTTCAGCGCGATGCCAAATAGAAAATCATCATAATTTTCCTTTATTACCAGAGTTTTTACCCATTTGCCATAGTTGTGTTTCCATGCTTTTTATGGACCAACTTTGTACCGATTTCGCAGCTGTAGTTGTAGCTGCAGCTTTAATTGCCATTGTCATGGCTGGGTTTGCTCATTGCCGTTGTCATTGTGTGTCACAGTCTGTTCCACCCAGACCCATTTCCACCCTCCCTCATAAAAAAAAAAAAAAATGGGGGGATAGAATAACTTTGTCGGAAACTCCTTTGATTTGTTTTCAGCACAACAGTATAAAAGTTTTGTATGAACGAACGTAGGACCCGCACTCATCCTTATTCCGAACTTCTTCCGAGTGAGGTGAACTTTTTGAAGACAAAACATTTTTGAGTTATTAATGAAAAGTTGTTGTCTATCCGGTGTACACATGAAGGGGCGGGGCTACAGTTTATACAGGGAATACACAAGTGCTAACTAAATGTTATGCTTTCATTATGCTCAGTAGCCCCCACAAAAGTTTCCCATCCGACCAAGTTCCGGGCCAAGTTCCTCCTGGTTATTGGCTTAGCTGATTTTTCTCCTGTTCTATTCAATTTGGGTTTCACTCTGAATTCTTACTTCTTTTTTTTTGTTCTACCGACACGCATTTGTTTGCCTAAAGTGCACTTTTTAACTAACTTGTCTAACGCAACTAATGAAAAGATTTGTTATTAGTTTTGGTCTGGTAGAAGTGCAAAAAGTGACAGGAGCCGCATCAGCTGCTGTTGGGTAACTTTTGCCCAGGGAATTATACATAAACATTGGACCAAACCGGGCGAGAAGAACATACAACACACACGATTCGCAAAAAAAAAATAAAAAAAAGAAATATGCTCGCAACTTGAAAAAGTAAATAAATATTTGAGCAACTTCTTATGGCCAACTATTTGTTTGGCAGACGAAAAGAACAAGTTTTGGGCCAAGCGAGGCAAAAGCAAAAAGGTGTGGAACTTTCGAAGCCATTATGTGAAAGTTTTATTTCTCCTTGGCCAGGGGCCTGGCAATCGACAAGTTTTCCTCTTGGGTGGCTCCAAGTTCGGCAGGAATTGGATTGGCAAATTGTTCGGCACATAATTTTAGAGGCAATTTAACAAAATCAAATTCAAGATAAATTCTTTCGACAGGAATGTGAAAGACTTGGGGTGTACTTAGGTAAATGTTGGTTCTCCATTAATAATTTTAAATTGTTAGTTAATTCCTTAAGCCACAACAAAATTTTGTTAATATAATCCTGTGGTTTCTTGTTTAAAATTAATTATAAAATGCCGTTTTAAACAACCTACCTTATGTTAAACCAGGCTAGCCAGCTTCCATTCATTCGAATCCACTTTATGAATGACTTTCGTTTATTTGCCATAGATATTCCACATTTCCCAGGTGATTCCAGGCAAACAGTTAAGCTGTCCAAATGGCTTGTTTAATATATTAATAAAAGCCATTCAAAGTCTTGTTCGAGCATCTCTAAAAGCCACCTAAATATGGTCATAACCATAAGCCAACTGTGGTCATTGTTCGCCACACAATTGGCATATTAAATTACCGCTTTTATAGCATATATTTAACATAACACTAACACTAACCGAGGCTATTTTTGGCCTTGGTTATCTAAACAGATAATTAAGTCCGCTTTGAGCCGCGGCTGTCTGCCAGCTGATTGATTGACTTTATCGGCCGTTCGAGCTGGGCCTTATCAACACTCCAACGGAGTCAATCTTTTTGGCCCGGCCCGTCTCCGGGCCTATCAAGATGCAGTCAGAAAATGCATAAAAGACGTATCTCACGGCAAACGACAATAACAAGAGCCACATCGCAGTACTACACACCGCAAGAAGGTAGGTAAGAGTCTCAGATTAAAACGAGTTCTTAACGGCAATCGTGTAGGCCGAGGAGTGCCATCTTTATGGACAGGTTAAGACAACTTCCTGCGTCCCTCGACCTCCCATTGCCATCGAGGAGTTACTTGATCGACAGTTCAACATGAAAACGAAACCAAAACGAATGACACACCACAAGACATTTCATGGTATTTTATATAAATTAGTTTTTTATTTCCAGATCTTAAAGTTAGTTAACAGAGTTATAAATGAGCTGAGGTAGTTACAATATATTCTTGTATGTTTTTCTTGGAAGTAATGTGAAAGCATTAAATATTTAAGGAGTGTAAGGTAGGACAGATAAGTGTAATTAATCATTTTAGTTCTTCCAGTTATTTGTCTTTCATTTAAAAATATTTTAAATTTAATATGCCTAATGACTGAATTTCATATAACTATTCCTTAAAATAACACTTCCATTTTAAACTTATTTGGAAATCTTCTTAATAACAAATACTATTTTAAGGTAACAGTTAATAACTGTATTTTACATAATTATTATTTAAGTTAACACAGGAATTTCTCTTAAAATTATTTGGAAATGTTCTTTATAACAAATAACTTTCTTTTAAGGTAACATTTTAAGCGTTTAACAATAATACATAGTTAATTCCCTAAATGGTCAATCAATTACATTGACGTTTTGTAGCAGACTTCTAGTCACATAAAATGTATCCCAAGTGTTCTCACATCTTCACGAATTTATTATCCACAACATCTGGCATCGTTCCAGGTGTTTTTTTTTGGCCTGGACTCTCAATCAAGCGCCGGGAATGATGGCCACCCGCATTCTGCAGTTTATGACACTCTGTCACACCAAATTTCCAGGCGGCTGCATACACGTAACGACATAAAGAAACAATTTAAAAATGCATGTAGTAAACGTATAATTTGATTAATAGCGACAGCTAAAATAAAGAAAAAATTTCATAAAGAATTATTCATAAATGTTGAATGTGTTAAAATGAATTATTTATGACATTACATGCAAATCAAAGTTTGCAACAGTGGCTTTTCAAAATTAAAATATTCGGTTTTCTTTTTTTCTGTTACGTTCATTACCTGCTCATCAATTTGTAATTGGATCCCAATGTTATTCAACAACAAAAAATCTAGGCTGAAAAAAAAACTTTTGTTGCCTGAAAAATTCATTGTTAAATGCTGTGAAAGAATGCATATTTATTGCTGAAATGATTTGTATGAATTATTTAAGCTGAAAAAAATCGAAAATCAATGGATTAATTATGGTTTCAGCTTCCACTCCATTTCCATTTCCAGATCCAGTGACCAAACCAAACCAAACTACAACAATAGCGCCAACGCCTGCGAAAGAAAAGATGGAAAAGAACGGAACACGAAAAAGTCTGGGCAAGAGTGCCCGGAATTAAATCTATAAGATTAGGTGGGTCTGGGGAATTGGGAGTTGGACGTTGGTTTCAACACCGCCACTTGGGTATTTGCCGGCAAAGAGAAAGGGGCAAAAGAAAAAAAAACAAAAGGTTACTAGAAAAAAATAGCAAAAAACATATATATGCAAGCATGGAGCTGTGAAACACGCAGCTAGAAAAATACTCAGAAAAAGCCAAAGCTCCGGAGTTGTGAGCTGAAGCCGTAACTGCAGGTGAAAATGGATTCTGAAAATTGGGTTAATTGATGCTTAGTGTTTTGCCTCAGTGGCTGGGATGAGTGGGCGTGGGTGGTGTTATTTAGCGCCAAGTGGCTAATAGTTTTTGCCACCCCTTGTCGCTTGGCAACCGGAAGCGGAAACCGGAAATGCGCACAAGGAAATACACACAAACATTGGCACACACACACACTCAAAAACATACCAAGTTTATGCTAAGAATTTCATGAATACTTGACTTGAGCCAAATTAAGTGTGGTCGAAAGCACATAAACTTGTGTAGAAGATTTGCCAGATCGTTTTTCTTAAGTGTAATCCAATTGCTAAGCTAATCCTACTTTAAATTTTGATGAAATGAATGACAGTAAAAATATAGATTTAAATATAAAGCTTTTTTACTTTGCTTATATGCATATAAATTATAAAATTTTAATGTAGGGAAGTATGACCACATTGCTTATTTTAAAATTCACAATTAAATAAAAATTAAGTCAAGTCAGTAATCGGATTATATATTTTTAACAGCTTTTTGTAATAAATTTGATAGCCAAGTACCACGCATAAACATCCTGGCAAATACCAAAATGGCAGTGTTGTTGGGGGGCTAAAAGGTTGAAAGGTCGGCTAAACAACCACGTAAATGCCAAATATATATATAGACGGGTAATTAGCATTAACCCATTGTCGAATTATACACACCGGGACTGCCCTGTTCCGTGAGATTGGCAATGAGAGTGGGTGGACCACTGCTCAGACTGCCGCCACCTGCACCGCCGGTGGAAGCTGGACCTGCACCACCCGCTGCAGCACCACTTCCGGCCACTGAACCACTGGCAGCCGCCGGATCCAGAGCCTGGGCGACTTGGAAAAGCAGTAGCAGTAGGGATGCGAAGGTGGCTCTAAGCGTTGGCCGTTGCCTCATCTTGCAATTTGGTATTTTGGCTATGTGCTTGTTGTACTCCCGCACCGGCATCAACATGTTCCATTGGTTGTTTCTTGGCTCCCTGGCTCCGATGGCGCTAATTGTGCACGATGCTCTGCGAAAAAACATGGGGATTTCAGTTAATAATTGATAGGCTTTGGCTCAGTTTCACTTGTCTAAATGTGGCGGCAAAAAAGGTTTAATATAGGCTTGTTTATAACAAAATTAATTTATATATTTTATTATTTGATTTAGTTTTTTATTTAGTACTCGTTTAATTTGATATAAATGCCTCTCACAGACACAACTAACCATCTGCCACTCTACCAGTGGCAGTTGCAATTAATGTACGTTGCAAGTTTATTGTTGCACATCAGTCACCCAAAAGTATCTTATGGTTACGCTTTGTATCTCAATGTTGCAGCACACACATACAAACACAAACTTTCCCAACTGGTTGCAATTAAAGTTCCTGCAGTCCTGTTCAACCGACATCTGTTTGGCAGATACAAAATGTATCTCGACCGAACATCAAAATTACACATTTGGCATATAAATTGCTCAATTTCATGTACTTTGCCTGTGTCAAATTGTCATTATACCGACGCACAAAAACACACGCAGCGCTAATGTATCTTGCAGATACAATTGCTGAAATTGCACTTTTAGCACTTAACCGAACGAATGGTGTGATTTTTTCTGAGAATATCAATTTGTTTTTCTGACGATTTATAGCTTTTTCTCTACTTCTCAGTGGAACATGATTGATTTTTTTTTATCTGAAAACTATAACACTTTTTTATAGGCATTTCATTTTTGGAAATTCAATTTGTCTCTTCTTGATCATATTAAATTTGTTGAATTAGGTTTTAATAATGTTTTATTTTTAAACACTTTTAGCACATGATCACATTGTAGGTGTGAGTTTTTATTGCTCGTTTTATGGGTTTTTCACTGTCTCAAATTATCGATTTATAAACGCGTTGTGTTTCTCCAAAAATAAAAAAGATATGAGCACATATAGCACCTTGTGTGTATTTTGGCCGTCTTTAGTTCGTATCTCTTTGTTTATATTTATGCATTGCACTTGTGCCAAGGGCTTTCAGCTTTTTACTGTTTTTCTTGGATTTTTTTTTCTGCTGTGCGTTGCTTTTGTTACATTTATAAATGGTTTAGAGAGCACATGTGCCGCACAGCACCCAAAACACACACGCACAGCTGTGGCAACAATTTGTAACTGTAGCGCATTTATAAACGCTGGATGGCTGGTTGGATGGCTGGATGGCTCCTTCGTTCGATGTCCTTGCTGCTGGTTTTGCTGCTTTTCCGCTGTTCTGCTTTCTGTTTTCCGTTTTCCAGTATTTCCCAATGTTTACACACGCTCAAGGAACTTTTTGTTGGTCGTCAACAAACCATCAAGCATTTGCGTTATATTGCTTATCAGCAACTGAGATATGGTATAGTGGTATGGAGTATATGGGGTCCTGGTCCTCTTTCCCTTTCGATGCGGTTTTGGTCTCGTATTTGATTTACCCTTCGGTGTAAAGCGGAAAACGTGCTCACATGCGGCCCATCTGAATTTTCCAGTCTCAGAGTTCGCTTTTGTTGTTTCAGTCAATTGCCGGCATTTTAAAAACGCATAAAATTGCTTTATGTTTGCCTTGCCAGTCGTCTTCTTTTCTCTACTTTTTTTTTTTGGGCTTATCCTCTGGCGTAAATTTATGCAAGGCGCCTTAGTTAGGGGCCACAAAACTCGGATCGCACATGACAGACGTCGAGACGCGTTGGCGTACGGATTTTTCCACTTTTTCCATTTTCCTCGGGGCAAATAATGCTGGCTGGCTGGCTGGCTGGCTGGCTGCACAGCTGCAGTTCAGGTATCTTCGGCGGTGTAAGTATCTGTAAGTGGTGCATAAGTGGCAGAGAAATGTTATTGATGATTTATTTGCATTTGGCATTGATATATGCTAATGTTTTTTTTCCCCTCTTTCCCTCGAAATACAAATACAAAAACGAACCCAAAAAAAGAAAAGGAAAAGAAAAGAAGGTTCCTCACGGTTCCAGACCATGGATTATGTTATCTTTAAACGCGGCGGCCTGTTGGCTTTTCAATTTTTCATGCCGCCGCAGCAAGAGTAGAAATTATTATGGCATTTTTCTCCCTCTTTTGGCTTTCCTTAAAGTCATTTTTATTTGCATTTCGTGATTTCGAACAGACAGATAAAAAAAAAGATGGGAACGCGCTGTGTCAACTCAAATATTTGATTTAATTCCCTAACATAATAATTAATCACTCGGCACCTTTTGGGGGGACGTGCTTAACCCCGGGGTCTCGTTTATTTGTTTATAATTAAATATTATTTGGCAGTCCAAATGAGACAAGCAAGCCGAGTGGCATTTATCAGTCATTCACTTTGGCTAGTTTCGTTTTTATGTTTTTTTTTCCTATTTCTTTCCTTCTTTCCCCCTCTTTTTGTTTAATGAGTTACAAATTTGGTTTTTCAGTTGTTTAATGGCTGACAGCATTATAGATTAGTGGCCGAAAGTTTTTCTAGTCCGCTACCCCACCTTTTAAAATTATTTTTTCTGTTTCCATTCCATGTCATTTACATGGTATCTGGGAACCGTTTGCCCCGCGGCCCTTTTTGTCGTCCGTCTGTCGCCGTTTGTATTTTTTTCTGTATTTTGTATCTGGCTACTTGGTGGGTCTGCAGATACAAATGTATCTGCGAGCTGGGGATGTGTGTTTTTCTGGGCTAATAGCTGGCTGCCAATGGGAATTTGTGTTAATTGTATGCTCGTTATGAATGTCCGTTGGCATTTTAAGTTATTGCAGAGATTTGGTTTTTTTTAGGAAGAGAGCCAGGCCATTTATGATATAATTTATAGACCTTGCTGGTTGTTTACGAGAGTTTAAAAATTTGTTTGAGAAAATTTACTTTCAATGCTTTGCTTTCTTTAGATAAAATATTTTTAAATATACATATATGTATCTTTTACCATTAATTTGTAATAGGAAATGGTTAAGCTTTAAATTAATTATCCAAAATCAAACTAATATAATCGAGAGCAGCCATAATTCACATACCAGCATGGGTATTTAAAATGGGTTACTAAAAGTTATACCTGTTGCTTTCGTTAGGTAAATACCTTTCAAATTTTTGGATAATTTACTTAGGCAAATCTTGGAAGGAAAAGTTTTTCGCTTCATGCGATCCAATTCGCTGGGCCGATTAGCATATTGGGAAGAAGACTACGGGCTCCCTAAGAGATTGCCTCATTCCGCATTAAAAATTCATGCTCTCGACTGGCAGGCCTTGAGATACATTTGAAATTCAAGTGCCAAGGCACACGCGCATCGCTAAAAGTGTCAAATTGGCAAAAGTGGACTTGGACTTGAAGGGGGGGAAGTAAAAACAAAAACAGAAACATTCTAAAACAAACTTTTGATGCCCTCTGTTCAGTGTGTGCTGTGTGTTGTGTTGTGTGTGGTGTGCGAGTGTGGGGTCTATAAGAAATTGATATCATTTATCAAACTGACACATACAGAAAACGGCGAGTGAGGCTGGAAGCGAATCTTTTCTTTGGCAACTTTTGCAAATGAGGCAGCCATTCGGCAAACGCCACATAAATAAACAGGGGTTGAGAGGCCTAATTGAATTCAGCGTTGCGAGAGTAAGCGAGAAATACATAAATAATCGGATGGGATCGCAGCAGCTCTGCCACAAAATTAGTTCATTAAAGAAGTTCAGGCAAAATTTGCATACGAAACCAAAAAAAAACCGAAAGCCCCCACCCACAAAAAACCTCAAAAATGAAACGCATAAAAAGCGAAAAATAAATGTAAATTAAAGTAAACAATGCAAAGAGAGCTATCCAAATTGTTTTTTATTTCATTTTTTGGGGGCCAAAAACCCGGTCCGCCCACTCGACAAAAAGAAAAAGTTCCAATTGCCAAAAACTTCAGAAGTCAGCAACATGCAACATGAATATCAAAATCAGTGAGGGAGCTGTGCTATAAAAAGAGTATATATAAAAAAAAAAATACTGATGGGGGCGGCGGTACGAAAGTGGGTACTACTATGTGTATGCATGAAAAGAGTGTTTGGGCTTGTATTTATATTTGTATTTCGTGGAAACGAGTGCAGCAAATCAATGCCCAACAAACGGAACTATGAGAGCTGCGTGTCAGGGCCAAACAAAAAAAAAACGAGTACTATATATATGTATGTTATATATCCCAGCGAATAATTCCGGGAAACCCTCACAGCGATCAGGCCCAGCCCACTTGTAATAAAAAATATTTTCAATAATAAAGTGTATTAAGTTGTGAAGTGCACACACAGCCCTACTCACACCGTAGAGAAAATAAATGAAATGTGAACCATGGAAAAGCTTCCAAAAGCAATAAGAGTGAAAAATTCCCCTTTCCGTTTCATTTTATTTTTTATATGCTATTCACAAAACAAAAAAAAAGTAAGAAAAGTAAAGAAAAATATATATGTAAAGTGACGCTGCCGCTGTATGAGTTGCGTGTAAATATAAATATTTTTTCCATACAAATACCAAAAAAAAAAAAAAAAAAAAAAACGGATGACGGCAATGGGGAGTTACATTCCATGGAGACAACTCCGGTTTGTTGATTCTACGAATACGTATAACGAATAACGAATACTCATACGAAATACGAACGAATCAACGAACGCATGAATGTGTCAATGGCTCAAAACGATTTATACAGCATATTAAATTCTGACATCAATGTTTGATTGTCCATACATGAAAAGTAATAAAATGGTAGAGTAATGAAATCAAATAAAGTGTAGCGGCATCTAAAATTGGTTTCCACTCCCTGAAATCGAAACTCATTTAGGTTTTCGATTGTGCGAGTAGTTTCACGTTTAAAGAGATTACATTGAAATTGAAGTGCTTGCACTCTGAAAATCTAGGGTTTTCCCCCCTTTCTTCTATACAACTTTTCTTTTCTGTTCTTTTTTTTTTCGAATGACCCGAGGCAACTATTGTTGTTGTGTTTTGCGGAGGTTGGAAATTTCGAAGAGTGCGGCCACCAAAAAGCTGAACCGAATTGGATTTAACCTCTTTTTAGCCAGACTGCAGAGGTTGATGCATGGCAAAAGGGATTAGAACGGTTCTGGGTTCAGATACCTACATATATAATATGTATAAGCCCACTCGCACACGTGCCGGAGGTGAATGCCAGAAGGGATTTCTGTTATGCAGAGAAGCCGAATTCAAATTGCTGCATATGTACTTGTTGATGCAGCGCAATGTCTTCGGGCTCTGGTTCGGAGTGCCTTTCAGAAGCCTTTGGATATAGGGAAAAAGTGATACACAGATTTATAACTTGGAATGTGACTCAATTGTGTCTTAAAGTGGGTAGTTTACTTATAACCAACATATTTTCGGTGAGGTTTTTAAAAGTACTGACATAATCCATACAAGTTCTATAGTTATTGGATCATAATAAAAAAATTCCAATGGATCAACTGTATATCAGGTTATAGAGTTAGGATTAGCCACTATTATCATTGTGAAAGGTCTTTAAATTAACGACCAATATCCATTAAGCCTTAATTCCATAATGAGCAGGTCAATTTTGAATTCTCTCTGTGCTTCCTATCTCTTTGGCACCAATATCTCTTCTCTGCTACCCCCCCTGAAATGCACATCCCTCTGTCCGAAATATTCCTTAGTTAAGGGGCATTATTCAAATGGCAGCCATCCACAAATTATCGCGTTTCGCACAAACCCGCACACCTGCCTCAGCATATGCTAATTAAGGGGTCCGCCCGCTCACTTTGGGGCCAACTAACTGGGTCACGGGAATGACATCGGCGAATATGCATATAGCCGGGCTAACGGCATTTCGCCGGGCCCCAAAGAAGAGCATTATTATGAGGACGAAGAGATGACGCCTGGCCCATGGAGCCAGCGGAGAACTATCAATCTTGTGCGAGGCGAACATAATTCATAACCGAAGGGGATGGCTGCATCTCTCGAATCTCTTCTGCATATGGCACACTATTCAACGCCCACGGATTTTGATGCACTGCAATGCGTGTTCTTTAAAAATTAAGTAAATAATATACACAAAAACGTGTTCTTTTAGACGATTGAATACTAAATTTTAGATATTATCTGCATAACTTGTTAAAATTGTATCAATTGTTTCTTTTTTGCTCCAAAAAAGTTTTAGGAACTCATTTTAAGGAGCTTTTTAATAATTTCAAGAATTCTGATCAAATGTTTTTATGATACCACAAGAGCCTTTGGAATATATCTTAGAATATCTTTACGTGTATATGACTTTTTATCTTTAAATACCCATATCTAATATCTTTTGTGTTGAACAATCCCAATAAATAAGTTGATTAATGAATTGAAAAATATCAAGATTTATTCTCAGTGCTAAGTAGGCGCGGCTGATGTGTCAGTGCAAGTTTTTGGGACAAAAGGCAATGTCAGTTGCGGTTCTTTTAATGAGCCGCCAAAGCGTGAAAAAGCGGCGCAATGCCGTCCGCCTTTTCCACCAGTTTTCCCCCTAAATTTTCCCTCGCTCTCAGCTGGAAAAGGTGAGGCTGGCTGTTACGAAGGCATCCAGGTTGATAATTATGAATGGAGCCAACTGTAAACTGACACAAAACAAACTCACAACCCACATGGGGCCATTGAGCTGTCAGCTGTGGCGACCTCGCTGATGCGGCAGCTACACCCAAAATGCAACGCCCCTGCAGAGGTAAGCAGCTTAATCGAGCTGCATCTACTAGCTGCATCTCCGACACAGCCCCTAAAACTCGGTTCCAAGCCCAGTTCCGAAACCCATACCCAAAACCCAAGCCCGAGCCCCATCCACAGGCATACCCATAGCCATAGCCATA